TTGATATACTGTAAAAGTACTATTTCCATGTGGTATTAATTTAAGCTAGGTATGCGGTCACAAATTTACCATGGAAATTTGTCCAAGCATTCTTAATATAGATGTAAGGCATATATTTACAGTCTGGGAAAATCCATGTAATTTTCTACATCCGGATTAAACAGATATTGAGATTCTGCTGAAATATGACCCTGTGGAAAAAAGTATGTCTACAGTGGCTCCAGAAGACTGAAACATTTGTTTCAATCCATGGTTCATATACTCCATAGATTAATAAATCATTGCTGTTTTATTTTCTTTTTTAAAGGGGAGGATCACTTGAGGACACATGCCAATCAGGAGAGACTGACTGAGGAGGAATCTGCTGCTCAAAAGAGGTACAGGGACGGGGAAAGGGGGGGGGGGGGCTACCCGGTACTTACTTATAGCTAGAGGTAAGGGATAGGTCTGTCACATGAGGCAATGGGGGGGGGGGGGGTGCTACTGCTTTCATGGAGGTTAAATTGTAATCACTGAAAAAGGAGAGGCTAGGGGGACCTCTCATCATTTTTAGAAATAACACATAGTAATAAATATTCTTAAATTCTACATGTATTAAGAGTTCCTAGCTATGAACTTTCCAAAATTTTGATATTCAGGCCAAACTAAAAAATACCTTTGTTTCCCCTAATGCGACTGACCCAGTTAAATTGCGCCGACTGAAAAGATGTTTTAATTAAGATAATTCAAATATTTTTTTATTGTTAACCAAGTTTTATAAAATACAATATCATCAAAATCAGTTTTTCTCAGAACGGCCGACATTGTTCTACTGTGATTTTTAAGCATTAGTTGGAAACAAAATGACATCCAAGATGTGATTACAGGGCATTAGCTCTTCATAAAACAATGGGGACGTCTTATGCTTTTAGCTAATTGGAATTCTTCACTCTTGAAACAATTCGATAATAAAATTTACCATGACTAATTAAGAGTGTTTCGGAAGTGTCTTTGCGTCTCCATGTGAGTGAATAAATTTTCGAAAGGGACATTAAACAACAAACAAACAAACCTGTCTTTGAATTGAAGGTATGTAATATATGGTAAGGCCTGCCTCATGAATAGAAGACGGGCCCACCTAGTGAACACATCATTCAGTTTCACTGCATTGTATTTATTTTGAGTTTTGATCTAATAACCAATTCATGTATGTTCCTATGTTTACTATATGCCACTATGGAACCATAGGAGTTGTTGTAAATATGTCCGTATATTCATCCTGATTATTATAATAGTTAGATGTCCTTCCTTCATGCCTTTATTTAGTGGTTAAATTGTGACTATGACATTGTATATAGCATTTTTATCATTTGTAGATTTGGTTTTGTTCAATTAAATATTGTTTGAATACTCTTTATAAATACTTTTGAAATCATGATTCAGCTTCCTGAGATGTTCAGTGTATTTTTCTTTAATTGGGCCCTTTGAAAATTGGTTGTTTCTTTGCTTTTTATCCCTTTAAGATTTGTTAGGATGATATTTAAACATTTCCCCATCTTTTAAATTTAGACATACTAATTTTTTTGCCTTAAGCTGTGGGGGACTTTTTTTAGCAGGCATCTTCTGTGACACTGGACATACGATTCTATAGCCCCCTTTTGAAGGACTGTTTTTAACGTTACTCATTGGGATTTTAACTTGCAATTTAAACTTAGCCACTTCTTAACTTCAAAACAAAATGCTCCAGAACCACTGCAAATCTCATGGCCCTCTAAAAAGTTTTTTGATCTTCTTTAAGCTCTGAAGGCTGATGGAAGGTTTAAAAAAATACCGTTTGTCCGGTCTTTGCGTATTTAAGAATCTTATCTATTTTAATCAATTTATATAAATGCGATGGCGTGAGATATTTCACAAATTGAACTAAATAACAGTTGTGAATTAATTAATTATGAATTTTGGTTTTAAATGGCATATGTACGATACTTAGCATTTTGTTCACAAATCGCTTTCTTTTGTACTTTTCTTTCATTAATTTTTAGAATGTTTTTTTTTCAAAGCTACTGTCAGAAAATAAAATTGTTTACATACCTACCGACCCAACTTGAGAATTTAGGGTCGGGTTAGGGGAAACAAAGATATTTTTAATTCCGGCCTGAGCTATTCATTTTATGTCTGATTTAATGAGTTTTAACATATCGGGTATCAAATCAAATTTCTATGTCTATTTGAAAACTTATTTGGTTAAACTAAAGCAGAATTGATCAGGACACAAAGTTAATGATGGCAAATTTTTGTTGTAGTGTGTTTTGTCTCAGGCCAAATGCTGGAGTGTTACTTTGGCCTGTCTCTATCGACGGTCATGTCTAGAGAAAGGAAGTCGGCGGCGAGTTGAGAGGTCAATGATGCAGATAGAGGTACAGTTAAATTTTTATTTCAGTTCAGCAAAGAAAATATTTTTTTTTTAAATATTTCAGGTGTAAATACATAAATGTAAAGGACTTTTCATGATATTTCAGATATTGATGCTTGAGAATTATTGAAGTTTATCTGGCATCTACTGTAGAAACAACGCTTTTGTCTGTATTACAGGAGTTGGTGAATCAGATGAAAACTAATGACCCCCCAGCATCAGACAGACTCTTCTTGTTCTTCTCTGTGAAGCTTCCTCCATTTTGGAAACTAGAGGTATTACATTGATTACTGTACCATTAAACAGTGTTTTAAATATTTAAAAATTCTGATAGAAGTAACTGTAACATGCATGAAATCATGAATGGTAATCTTACTCTGTTCTCTGTCATTATCAGTTGTATGTAATGCTATAACTCAACACTGTATGGGGTATATGAACTAGTACTAGTTAGCTAGCTGATCTGTTGCTGTCTGTTGGGGCTCTAGAGATAAGTTATCTCCTACGTACACAGACATCTTACTGAGCTGTACCGTAAATGTGGAGTGCTTTAGAAGTTTTTTAAGAGACTACAGTTTTATTTTCTATATTAATATCAGCATACTAATAAACATAATCATGTACATATATCAGTGATATTGCATATTTCTATTTGTTTAATTATATAGAATACAACACAGTCATGCATTTCACTTCAGAAATTTGATTTTCTTCACTTTTCTATTTTGAGCAACAAACAGATTGTCATTTGTATCCGTACACAATCCCCAAGGACTCAGTCCACAGTCTATGTAACGGAGGAACTGTCCATCCTGGTCTATGATGTGGACACACTCATTCTCATTATCAGCTGTAAGGATGTGACTCTGACTGTCTGTGGTAATTCCTCGTGGACTGAATGGTTTGTTTTTTGGAGCAGGAGTATGTCCAGTGTACCTGAATCTCAGTTTTCCAGCCTGATTAACCACCACTACTGCTTTAGCTTTATTTTCAGACACACATATATCCAGGTTCCTGTTCTCAGTTATGTATCTGTTATAGGAATCAGATGAATAGAGAGGTTTACCTTTATCATCAAACTGGATGGTTTGTTTCTCTGTGGAGCCAGAGTAACGAACAACTTTTGTTTGTTTTCTATCATCACTGTACATGATAACCAGGAGGTCACCAGAGGAGGTACTATTGACATTGCGAGGTTCCCATTCCTGTAGGCTGATCAACTCCTCTAACTTCTCACTCTTCAAAATGTTCACAGTTCTATCCTTGTAGTAATCAGTATAAACTAGATCTCCACTTTTTGTCACTGCTATGTCCCATGGTATGAACCCTGACCTTGTTCTGATTGACTTGAGCAGTGATCCCTGATTGATGCTGTAGAGTTTCATGGTGCTGTCTTCTCCACTTGTCCAGATTTCTTGATCACTCAGACAGGCCACACTGTAAAGGCTTCTATACCCAGTGTCTATGGTGGTGACAGTCTCTGGTTCATCAAGCAGCTGTTTGACTGGAGGAGAGGATCCAGCTTCTGGTGATTTCAGTGTCGTCTTCATGCTGTAGCCATGTTTATCTGAAGTTAAAGAACTTGATGATAAAGATCCAAACATCCCTCCGTGGATTTTTCCTGGGATGAATTTGGGTTAAGATAGCACTTTCTTTTATGGAAGATTTCTGTATCTTTGTGCATTTGATCTGACCCCAAAGAGTTTTGACAAGTCATTAGTGTCTATAGCCATTTCAACTGAATCAATTTCATCCTTGATGTCAGACATTGTCTTGTTTATTTCATCCAGATGTTTCTGTAGAGTTTGTAACTGTGTGTTTTTCATCTCATCAACTTCAGCTTTAAGTTTCTTGACAAGTTTGTCAATTTCTCTGTGCCAGTCCTCTCCATGTTTTGTTATGGCTGTTGAGAGAACTCCATATTCCTTTTCTAACTGACTCATTCTGTTTTGTACATCAGAGGCAATGTCCTGGTAGGTTGGATAAATTGTTTCATTTAGTTCATGTCCTTCTTTTGTAAGCATGTCCTTTCTTTCATCCAAAATGCTTAAGATATTAGATAATTCATGACCCAAATGTTGATTGGATTCAATGCAACTTATACAGACAGGAATGTCACATTGTTTACAGTACATTTTACATCGTTCTTTGAAATGAGATGTACATCCAGGGTAGAGAGGGGTAGAATTCCTCAACTGAAATTTGACGACTTTGTGATCTTTGGATTCATCAGATATCATGTGTTTTCCTACGCAAGCTGTGCACAGGTTGACAAGACATGTATCACAGTGCATCTGTACCACACCGTTCTCACACAAGTTACATCGCATCATGTCCTGGGCAGTGGTACGGGGGTTCATGGTTAAATTAAGTGCCTGAAACCAAAAAATATTATTCAATATTATATACTATACATATATTAACTGGATTTCAGGGCATCAGAAATTTTGGCAGACCAGAGAACTACATTGCATTAGAGCTCAACATTAAGGAAAATACACAGTTGTCACTCAGACAAGCTTCAAACAAATGTAATTTGTCCAGAATTATTTTTTACTTGTCCCACTCTTACAGTACCTTACTTTACCTTCAAGAATAACAGTAGATTAATTTCATCATGATTTACTGAATTGATATAAATTAACACAAACTGTCTAAAACATAGTCTACACCTCCCTTGATGATGATATTTGGTGTTCTGTGACTGAGCCCTTATATTTTGTATTTGATGTTTGCAAGTAATTTAAAAAAGACGGATCAGTGAAGCATATATTCTGTAGATTTTTTTACCCTCATGATATTCCATAATGGTACAATGAGTTACTTGTCATATTAGTAATGTGTGTCTGGAGATTGACTTGTCTAATCTAAAAATGAACAGGAGGATAATGGACGAATGATTAGAAATTGAGTGCTGTGTATATCAGAGAAGATTAAAGAAATTTCTGGAAGTATACACAGGAAGATAAACAAGTCAATATAATACAGCATTCATGCATTGAATCTTTATCACATTTTTTTTCTCTTCGTTTAAATCTACAGCAATGAATTTTTAGAACTTATCAACATTTTTTCTCAATTTGATAAATACTTCAGTTACTCATATGTTTATTACCTGACTTCAGTAATGGCGTCCTGTTGATCTTTAAGTTAAGTCTGATCATGTGACTTAGTTACCCGTATCTACATGAACCTGTCAGGTATTTATACTTCCTGGTGTAGAAGGGGGTATAAATACCTTGAATGCTATTATTGCTCTTTACAGTGCAACTTTATAGGTACTAGATAATGTTATGTGAATAATTTATGATATCTTAATTTTTTAAATTTATTTCAAAGAACTAAATGCTTTAATGTGTATATTAAAAAGAAAAATGTGATTTTGAAAGAAAATTTTTCAACAACATAAAAAATAGTAATGTTTTAGTATCAAATACACAGATATGAAAGTTTTATAAGTAAAAGTATATGGAAAATCATTAAATAATCTCTCAAGCACAGCAAAGCCTTGATTATTGAGGTAATTTATAGGAAGCATCCTCGGGTTGTGTAGATTCTGGTTTTTTTTTCATATCAGAACAGTTCAAGTTTCTATAAAGTAGGAACAATCTTTATCAGAACATCCATCTTCCCTACCCAAGGGTTTCTCATGCTCACGTCAGGGGGAGAGTAGAACATCAGAAACCCTTAGCTAGCGAAAATGAAGAACAGCAAAAAGTCGTACAAAAACATGTATTGAAGTACTGTAAACTCACATATTTTTGTGGGATCTTCGAGGTTTGAGAAAAAATTATGGGTTTTGGGGGGATTTGATTTTGTGGTTTGAAAATGTTTAGTAATAATGCATTAGTAATTTTACATTTCATGGTGGTCATAAATTCGTTGTTCTCTCTATACCTCGAGAATAACTAAAATTAACTCCCCCCCCCTAAATTAGTGATTTCACAGTATATGGAATTTACCTCCATTGTGTACATTTAGGTTTGTTTAAATCAGAACCCCCATGGTAGTTTAGGAGCCACAGTATGTAATTTTAATTTTTCTTTAGAGTATTAAAAAAACTTACACACTCTTATGATGAACAGAAAAGCAATGCTGACACAGTTAAGCAAAATGGCTCATGGGTCTCTTACTTATTTGTAGAGGCCGCTCATTGAGTTGTGTTAGTACATGTGCGAAATCAATCATTGAGTTTGGAAGAGTACAGTTATTTCTATGTTAAGAGCACGAGAAAGTCAGCAGAGTTTCTATACAGTATCAGGTCTATTTGTTTTTATGTTAACATACACAGCTAGCAAAGCTCCTATTAAGTATCGGGGCTTTTGATGGTGCTGTAGAAGTGTTTAAGAGACTACAGTTATTTTTATCTTAACAAGAGACAGCTAGCAGAGCTCCTATTAAGCATTAGGTCTATTGGTGGTGCTTTTGGGGTTTTTTGAGACTACAGTTATTTCTTTATTAACAGACACAAGCAGAGCTTCTTATAAGTATAGGGTCCATTGGTGGAGCTCTAGAAGTGTTTGAGAGACTACAGTTATGGTAAGATGTCATCATCTGCTTCAAAAGGCTGGGAAAAATGGAGAAGGTGAGATGAATATATGTATTTGCATTGGAATTTTTTTTTCGTATTTTTAAATCAGTGATCAAATTTTTACATAGTAGGAAAAATCTTCTCATAAACAGCAAAAAGCATGATAAGTCATGCATGTATATTTAACTATATGGAAGCGTCCTCTATAGTGTAGATTCAAGTTTGTTAAAATAAGGACTCCTCTGAGATGGGGTGGGAGTATGGAATTCAAATTTACATAAGAATATTCAAGTTTTAAAATTTTTTATAGATATTTATATGAATTTTCATAAAACGTTACTTATTTGGGGTACCAAAGAGAGACAACTTTATAATTTTGGTAAAACTTGTGTTTTCACTATAGAAATCAACAGAAAACGGAAAGTATTTTTAAAACATCTCCCCCCCCCCCCCATGAAACAAAAATTCCTTCTTACAGGTAATATGGACTGTCATTTAACAAATTTATGCCAATTAGCTTTTTGTGTTTCACGGGGGGAAGGGGGGGGGGGATATGTTTATAGACAAACCCCCCCCCAAAAAAATGCTGATTTTTCACCAATTTTAAAGCTATTTACAACTAAATAATTGTATTTTATTAATTTATATTATGTTTTATTTATTTGCTTAAAACATTAAAAAAGATATGAGATACATTTTATGATATTTAAGACTATTTCAAAATATCGTGTTTCTTGAAAGTTTGATTTCACTAGAAACTAGTGCTAATTGTAACGGGGATTTTAAATTTTCCCCAAAAGTCCCCAACTCCCTTTTGGTGCCATATTCCCTGTAAGCTTCATTAAATAGGACAAAATCTATGCATTTGAGACTTAAACAACGCCAAGTTCATTCAAATTTTAGCATTGCATGCGTGCGCATGGAATGCATGTGCGTAATGCCATATCATCTTGTCTACACAATCTATATATTTTTTATATACTAAATTTTAAAATTTTAATCCAAAAGTATAAAAAAGATACGCTCATTCAGGTGTATTTTTGATTTTACTCATTTCACGTGCACCACTGATACATGAGCATGGTGACCATACCTTTTTGTAAATCCTTTACATCTATCTATGTTCTAAATCCCACCCCGTTTGGTTGAGAACCAAGGGAGTTATAGCTGTTTAAAGTTTCAGCCAATCAGATTACAGCGCACGTACACGAACGTGTATGCATGTGCATATGACCATACCTTCTTTTAGAAGTTCATTATATCGATCTATGTTCCAAATTCCTTGTTTGGTTGAAAACCAAGGGAGTTATAGCTCTTTAAAGTTTAAGCCAATCAGATTGCAGCACACGTGCATGCACGTGTTTTCATGATAATTTCTATATATCGTGTTGTAGGATATCTTAATGCATGGCTATGTTCAAAATTTCATAGGATTTCGTCGAAAAACAAAAAAATATGAGATTTATTTAGCCAATCAGGGGGAAGCGCACGTGCAGCACGTGAGGTCTTGCATTTTGACCATGTCATCTTGTCTACGCTACTAATATATCCTTACATTATAAATTTAAAAAGATTTCATCCAAAAATAGAAAAGTTACGGCTATATCCAATATATTGGTCATTTCACGTGTTGCACGTGCCCCTCTTGCAAGCATGTGCGCGCAAAATGGCATGTTGACAATGTCATCTTATCTACATTTATAATATGTCTATATATTCTAAATATCAAAGCTTACATGAAAAATGTAAAAGTTACGGCAATTTAATTATTGGTCATTTCACGTTTTGCAGGCGCGCTCTTGCAAGCAAATAAAAAAGAATAAGGTTTAGTTCATGATACATCTTTCCTGAAAATTTCAAGTCAATCTATCCAAGCATCTCTGAGAAATCGTCTGCACAAAAATGTGTAAAGAAAAAAATAATAATAATAATAACTAGATACGATCTCGTTGCGAGCAACGAGTGGGTCTTCCGTTCGATTCTTGATGAGATGAGATCAGATTTTGATTGAGATTTTCATTTTAAAATAATGATTTTCCATGATCTGTAAAAAGACATTGAACAATAAAGACTTCTAAAATCGACTTTTGACCCACCGGGCCTAATATTAGGGATCAGCCCTTTTTTCTTCATAAAATTTTAAAGCTCTCAGGATTATGAACACTTTTTGTTCAACAACTATTCAGAGATTCTTTTTCGTTTTTGAGTTATTCGCAAAAGAAATATTTAGGGGCCAACCCTTCAACTCCCTAATGGGGACGTTTAGCGAAAAATGAAAGGTTGCATATTGTTCAAAACATGGACTTGAACATGTTTTGTCAAAATTACTTGTCAAAATAGTTCTCACTTTCGAGATATAAAGCGTCAAAGATTTAGCATTCTGGCACCTTGTGGCCCCTTATTATGTAATATACGACATTAAAATTATTATATACAGTTGTAGATTGTTGAGATGAACATTTTTGCTTCAGTAATAAATAATAAAATATTGACTGTTAAAGAGTTATCGAAAAAAGACTTTTAGCCCCTTTTGGCCCTTAATTTGAGCACCCAGCCCCTTTTTCTGGATTTCATCTTGGAGCTCTTAGGGTTTTGAGCACTTTTTGTTCAACAACTATTCAGAGATTCTTTTTCGTTTTCGAGTTATTTGCAAAAGAAATATTTAGGGACCAGCCCTTTAACTCCCTAATGGGGACGTTTAACGAAAAATAAAAGGTTGCACATTGTCCAGAACATGATTTTGAACATCTTTTGTTCAATATTACTTGTCAAAATATTTCTCACTTTCGAGATATAAAGCGTCAAAGATTTAGCATTCTGGCCCCTTGTAGCCCCTAATTATGTACCATACGAAAAAAAAATCATAATATATAGTTGTAAATTGTTGAGATAAACATCTTTGCTTCAGTAATGTATTACAAAATATTAACTGATAAAGAGTTATCGATTGAAGACTTTTAGCCCCTCTTGGCCCCTAAATTGAGTGTCCAGCCCCTTTTTCTTGATTTCATTTTAAAGCTATTATGATTTTATACACTTTTCGTTCAACAACTATTCAGAGATTCTTTTTCGTTTTTGAGTTATTTGCATAAGAAATATTTAGGGACCACCCTACAACTCCCTAATGGGGACGTTTAGCTAAAAATGAAAGGTTGCATATTGTTCAGAACATGATTTTGAACATCTTTTGTTCAATATTACTTGTCAAAATATTTCTCACTCTCGAGATATAAAGCGTCAAAGATTTGGCATTTTCTGCCCCTTGTGGCCCCTAATCATGCACCAGTATGTTATAAAAATTATAATATATAGCTGTAGATTGTTTAGATAGACATTTTTGCTTCAGTAATGTATAACAAAATATTGACTGTTAATGAGTTATTGAAAAAGACTTTGGCTCCTGGCTCTAATTCGAGTGCCCAGCCCCTATTTCGGGATCTCATCTTGAAGGTCTTAAGATTTTGAACATTTTGTGTTCAATAATTGTTCAGACATTCTTATTCGTTTTTGAGCTATTAGCAAAAGAATTTTTTAGGGGCCAACCCTTCAACTCCTTAATGGGGACGTTTAGCAAAATATGAAAAGTTGCATATTGTTTAGAACATTATTTTGAACATATTTTGTTCAATAGTGCTTATCAAAATATTTCTCCCTTTCGAGATATAAAGCATCAACGATTTAGCATTCTGGCCCCTTGTGGCCCCTAATTACGTTTCATATGATATGAATATCATAATATATGGTTGTAGATTGTTAAACTCAACATTTTTTGTTCAGTAATATATACCAAAATATTGATTGTTAAAGAGTTATCGATTAAAGACTTTTGGCCCCTTTTTTGCCCTTAATGTGATGAGTCAGCGCTTTTTTCTTGGTATCATATTTAAGATCTCGATGTTTTGCACAAATCTTGTTCAGTATGTTTTAACAAAATAATTATACTTTAAAAGATATGAAGCAAAATGTCTTAAAAAATTAGTCATGATTCGTGTCCTAAATTTTGACCCCTAACGAGCTTCCATAATAGAAACTTCCGGAAAATTTCCTGACCCAGGTGCAACATGGCAACATGTCCTCTATTATCACTGAAAATTTCAGCACTCTAGCTTGAGCCGTTATTGAGTTCTGTCACAGACAAGGAGGTCGTCTGAATTTTAAGAAAAGGGCGATAACTCTAGACCGGAAGTGATTTTAAAAAAATCCTTCGGCCGGAATTAACTTCAGATAATTGTGCACCAACCCTGAAAATTTGAAACAAATCGATCGAAAAATCTCTGAGGAATCGTCGGCACAAAATTTGTGCAGAAAAAAAGAATAATAATAATAATAACTAGATACGATCTCGTTGCGAGCAACGAGTGGGTCTTCCGTCCAATTCTTGATGAGATGAGATGAGATTTTGATTGCGATTTTCATTCTAAAATAATGATTTACCACAATCTGTAAAAAGACATTGAACATTAAAGACTTTAAGAAATCGGCATTTTGCCCCTAATGGCCCCTAGTTTTTTTTCATATCATCTTAAAGCTCTTAAGATTTTGAAGATTTTTTGCTCAACAACTATTCAGGAATCCTTTTTTTTTTTTTGAGCTATTAGCAAAAGAAATATTTAGGGGCCAACCCTTTAACTCCTTAATGGGGACGTTAAGCAAAAAATGAAAGGTTGCATATTATTCAGGACATTATTTTGAACATCTTTTGTTCAATATTGCTTATCAAAATATTTTTTCCCTTTTGAGATATAAATCATCAAAGATTTAGCATTCTGGCCCCTTTTGGCCCCTAATTATGTACCATACGACATAAAAATAATAATATATAGTTGTAGATGGTTGAGATAAACATCTTTGCTTCAGTAATGTAATACAAAATATAAACTGATAAAGAGTTATCAAATTTAAATT